AACAAACACGGTGTATGGCACATTCCCACATTCCATAAGCTCTTATATCAAACTATTCAATACCTTGGCATATTCCAAACAAAGAAGAAGAGAAAGGAAAAGGAGTCAACACATAAATGGTATTCTTTCATTTACAACTTGATCTAAAAGTTTTTTCCAATAAATAGTAAGTTTATATGTGCATGTGTGTGGGCCATTGTCATTTTTTGAAATACTAGAGCAACCTAAAAGACAAGGAAACTACAATATTTCACAAGTAAACTTTCAAAACCTACAGAAAACCTACAAACATGAATATTAAATTTTGAGTTACCAGTGCTGAACTATTCTTAGTATGCTTCATGGAACTAAAATCACACATTTGCTATAAACCTAGAGAAATCAACTCTGGAGTTCTCCGAAAAACACACACCGTAAAAAAGCAACCAATATTTCCGAATACCTCATGCATTGCTTTGCATGGTGTATATACATATATGTATCCAAAAAAACTTCGCTTACACGATTGCATCAATACCCAGCATGAGCAACAACATCAAAATTCAGTACACATGCTTTGCAAAAAAAATCAGCACACATACTTTGCGCAAAAAGCAAATACACTTTGCAAAAAGATTACTAATTATGTACTAAAAACTTCACATCATATGAATGCTTTGCCAAATATAAGTTAATATGCTATGCAAAAACAAGCACATATGCTTGCAAGAATCACAATAAGCTTTGCAAAAAAATCAGCATATATGCTTTGCAAAAATCAGAACATATGCTTTGCAAAAATAAGTGCATCTGCACACATGCTTGAAGAGCCTCAGAAATTTGATCATGAGCCAAGACATTCATGGTTCACAACTGTGATGAATTTAAGCTCGCAGATAAATCATTGAAAGTTTACTAAAATAATACTCTGAATAGTACTGGGCAATGTACTAGCCCTAAAACTCTAGTCCAGACAATCCATATACAGGTATTTGTACAAGTTCCAGCTATTTATCAGTAGCACAAAAACATGCATAGAATCAAAAGTAGGAACACATTCATGAATGATATGGATAGAGAAGAAAGAATGCCAATACTCAATAGATTCATAAGAGTACAAAGCCAAAGGAAGGTAAAAGGGCCCTAATGCAGGTCACTGTTTCCTACAATGCTTTTTCCCTTTTGTTTACAATAAGGTTAAACCCATAAAAATGCTTAGTTTGGAAGCTTTTTTTGGGTAAATTACAAGAATATTTGCAGCATGCTTAATCAAATTCTTTATTAACTGACTCATGGTTGGACTCCAACTAATTCCAACGGGACTCTGGCAAACATTTGGAGTTCGGACCTCAACAAAGTCTCAAAGTTTTACCCATACTAAAGGATGTGAGCACCTGGCAATTGAGAAGCTACTTTATTGATTGAACACTCAGACTAGGAAAGAAAAAGAGGTAAAAAGTTTATCTTACAAAGTTGGGTGAATTATCAATTGGAGCTCAGTATATTCATACTTCCGCCATCATGTTTGTTACCAATCTAATCTTGCCTAGTCATTTTGTTAGTCAATCTATAAATATATATCTTTTGCACTTTAAGCGCCAGAATTCCATTGTTAGAATGCAAGTCTTTTTCCTTTATTGCTAGTGAAGTTCCAGTCATTAATCATTAATAGCTAAAGATACAATAGAACAATGAGTCTGACTTTTTCTCTAATACATTAGTATATTTCTAACTTCATTCTTTTAACTCCAACACTAAAATTTTATGAAGCATATTATGATTATCCTTCTAAGTTAACAATTTTTTTAGTAGTGCCTAAGTACCTTATTAATGGAACAGTACATGAATGTAATAATACAGTTCAATAAGTTTCCCCCTTTTCAGCTATAGAGTTACCAATGATGGAATTATGGAATTTGATTAAAAAAATGGCTGTCATACAGTAAGAGAAACAGGAAAAACAACTATCTTAGAGTTCAGATATTAGTTATTTCTCATTATTTCAGATTTTTTTTGTTTCTTTATTTAGCTTATTCTTTCCCATAAGTTTCTAATATATATTCTACCTTTTCAATACGTTTATCACCTTAACTAGTCCAATTTTTTGAAGCTTTATGCTTTGAAGACCATACCTTCACACATAACACTCTATTCCGTCTTATACATACGCGAGGAAGGTCATCAAAAAAGAAAGAACTCATCTTCTTTCTTTTATCACTTACAAGACGTGCGAGATGAAAGTCTCATGCACGGTTTTGAATGAGAGAAAAAAGTGAGGAATCCTCTTTTCGACTCTGACTCTCCCACTCCAGTAGTTGCTTTTCTTTTTGTTACTTCCAATGGACATTATGCACTTGTTACACAACAACCCCTTAGAGGAAGGGCCACGCAAGGAGGACAACGAGTAGAAGAAATGGAAGTCTGGGCTCTAGAGGGATTTGGTGTTGCTCATATTTTACAAGAGATGCTTACTTATAAATCCGACCCTATTAGAACACGTCAAGAACTACTTGGTACCACGATCATTGGAGGAACAATATCTAAGCCTGAGGGTGCTCTAGAATCTTTTCGACTGCTCGTTCGAGAACTACGATCTTTGGCTCTAGAACTGAAGCATCTCCTTGTATCTGAGAAGAACTTTCAGATTAATAGGAAGGTCGGAATGAATCAAAATTTTTCTTCTATGATTGACCAATATAAACATCAACAACTTCGAATTGGATTAGTTGCTCCTCGACAAAGAACTGCTTAGGCCAACAAAATCCTACCTAATGGAAAGATGGTTGGAGAAGTGACAAAACCCTATACTTTTCATTACATAAGCAATAAACCGGAAAAAGATTGATTGTTTTGTGAAAGAATCTTTGGACCTATAAAAAGTGGAATTTGAGCTTGTGGAAATTACCGAATCATCGGGGATGAAAAAGAAGACCCGAAATTTTGTGAACAATGCGGAATCGAATTTGTTGATTCTCGGATACGAAGATATCAAACGGGATACATCAAACTGGCATGTCCAGTGACTCATGTATGGTATTTGAAACGTCGTCCCAGTTATATCGCGAATCTTTCTGATAGACCTCTTAAAGAATTAGAAGGCCTGATATACTGCGATGTGTGATTTGATCAAAATTACAATTCTACAAGTTCATGATGAAAAACTGTCATCCCGTTCAATCCAATTGGGATGCCTCCAGCTCTGACATGTCTCTTAGGAGAAGTAACATGAAGCTCAGAATTCTGGGTTTATTCAATACTTCCAAATGAACTCAAAGTGCCTTTACAAATCATGGACTAGCAGAATCAAAGCTTGACAATCAACACCATTCAAAATCACTACATAACTCAAAGCAACATCAGTAGAAGGATTATGAAAGATGCACACTGAACAAATGAAAGAACTGTGATACAATAAAAGAAATCAGATGTCCAGCCTTGGACCTATAACTTCCTTTTAAGTATAACACTGGACCCAAGGTCAGAAGTAGCACAAATGTCATAAACATCAGCTTCAAACTCAAATGAGATGCTATTTGCATCAAGATGAATATTTATATTAGCAAAAGGTGCATGGAAAATAATTCTAATTAAATCCATAAACACACTTTCATGGCATAAGAGTTTCGAAATTCCAATTCATGCACCTTTTCCAAACTAAATGCACACTAGAATATGGTAGCAAAAACCACACTTACAAAAGATCTTGCCATCTCCTATTTCTCCAGTTCTTGCTTCATCAATAATCTTTTCAATAACTGCTTCAACCTACAAGGTGATATTATTCAAGGAACGATACCATCATTTATGAAATTTTAGAAGTCTTGATACAAAATTTGATGAATACTTCAATCTTCTAGAAAAGAAATTATTACAGCATTAGTTCAAAGTTCTTTTACAAAGTTTTTATACAGCAGAATTTTAGATTACCAGCTTTCTTCTTTTTCGCTTTTTGATAGCTGAGAATTTACCCGATCTGGATCCGAAACCTGAATTTCATATCCTATTTGGATTCGGGTTTGGAAACAAGATTTGGATCCGAAATTCGGATCATGATCAAATATTTAGAACCGAATAGTAATTTGGATCGGATCTGGGTACAGGTAGATCTGATCCGGATCTGACCTGATTTTTAAAATAGTATATATATATGGACTTGGTTTCTATGTGGCCAAGCCCGCATATGTAGAAATGTGGGCCTCTTAATAAATCTATTTTTGAGATGGACTTTAAGACTTAATTTTTAAGGACATGTAATCTCTAACATGGAGATCATGAATATGAATAAATAAATAAATTTTAAACACTACAAATAATAAGTCTAGTAAGAAAACATTTGGACCGTTAGGTTTCAGTTTTTAGATGGAACATCTACTTGCATCCATCTCTACGATGGATGCTTTACACTTTTTGGACCGCATATTTAAAATGCGGTCCAGCCCGCATGGAACAATTTTCCTATATATATATAGAGTAATGATCTTATAGGACCCTCCTCCACCCATGTGTGTAGGACCCCAAAGGATCACCATTAAAGTTGGCACGGATCTCTAAAAAAGTTATCACATGGGTTTGGGACTTGACTTTTCTATAGATCCGTGCCAAATTTAATGGTGATCCTTTGGGGTCCTACACACATGGGTGGGGGAGGGTCCTATAGAATCATTTCTCATATATATATATAAGAAAAAGCTTATATAAGGTTGCAACCTTAAAATGTAGAATAAAGATGCACCTCAAAAATCCATCGAAAAATGTTGTATTAATGTTGAAAAACCCTCTAATTGATCATCTCGACATCGAGATGTATGGATATGAAAAAGAAAATATTTTTAGTCCCAGAAATAGTGCATCTTGCAACACATTATTTAGACCGTCCATTTTCAAGATTTTCATATGTTTATAGATCTACTTGATTTTTAACCATTTTTGGAGTTTAAAATTTTATAATTAGATATGAAAATAAATTTTCAGATAATCCTAAGAATTTTTTACACTAAAATTACATGTTATGATAAAATTTAGAAGTGCGCCTTAATTAGATTGTTTAAGGTTGCAAACTTATAGAAACTACACCCATATATATAATTTTTTAAACTTGTACAAGACCTAATCTGGGTCTCATCTATAGTTTTCGGATCCAAATCCCATATATAGTTTTCAGATCCAAATCTGGATCCAAATCCCATGTATACTATTCGAATCCGGATCTGGGTGGATCCGGACCCGATCCAAAAAATTCTCAACCCCATAGATCATCAGTTAACAGCAAGGCCTCCAGGATCATCACTTTACTACAAGACCTCCAGGAAGTGAAAAAAACAAGGTTAGACGAAGGGGATGCAATTACTAATATTTTGTAAGTAAATGCAGACAGTTGATCCTTCACAACGACAAGAAGACTGAGGGAAATACTATAGTCTGCTCTGAAACAATAGGGCAAGTTGGATATTTTGAGAAATCAGGAGATTTAAGACACAGAAAGGTTGATAAAGACAACATCAAGAGACTTGAGACAAGGACAATGGTCTATCAATGATATCAAAAGTTCATTCCCTCAACAACACACGCATGCACAAGCATTTGCACACACATGAATGTATATCTGATTCTTTACTTCAAACTACTATGATTCTAGAATAACTCTTTATTTAGACAAATGATAGGCCCCACTTTGGGACATAAAATTTTGAGGGTAGCGCCATCTTTCGCCTCCACCCATTAGAAGTGAAAAAGGGTACACTCCACTTTTCTAGGGTGATGTAATTTTCTAACCCCACTTATCAATAAACTTCTTTTCCCAACAACTTAGTTCACATTTTGGTTGTGAATTAATTGATAACACAATAAACAAATTTTTAGATGTAATAGTGGAAGGAGATTCAAATACAAACAGTTCTAGCTGATTTAAAACACAATTATGAAGATTCTGAAAATAAGAAAGAATGAATTATCTGAATGGACCGACCATTGGTGTTTAAAATCATGTGCCATTTCAGGGAATGTTCCCTAACTGATCATGTTGTTTTTGTCATTCTATTGATTGCTATTGAAGGTAATCAGACCTCCACAATTTTGACATAAACATATACGATTGCAATTAAAAAATCGCGAATCAGAATCAGTTTTTAAAATAAGCATTCCATTCTGTGACTATCTAGAGTTCCAAGTATTGGGTACTAAAGAAATTTTGGACACTTAGTCTACAACCTAAAAGTTAATGACTAGGCAGTGAAGAGAGTATGCTAAACATGTACCTGATCCTTGCTCACCACAATTTCCATTTTTACTTTGGTCACAAATTTGTCTTCAGAAAATTCAGATCCTACAATGACAAGTTCAAAATAATAATAATAAATTAATAATATATAGAAAAATATAAGAAGATCAAGATGGTAAAAATGACAAAGAAATTGCATCAACACAAGGGGTAGGAACTACAACCTTGAAAATACTCTCTTATATAATATATGCCTTCCCACTAGAAAAGATCTACACATGTAACAATTGAAAAAAAAAAAAATTTTCAACTTGGAAAAACTTGCTGAGTCAAATAAACTTGTCCAGTGGCCAATTCCAACTATCATCATCCAAGTCTTATCCCAACTATTTGGAGTCAGCTACACGAATCTCATTCCTCCATTCACTCTATCAAGGGTAATATAGCCTTAGTCAAACAACAAGTCACCATATATTTTTTATTACTTGCATCAATGTTCTTTCGGGGTTCCCCTGACCCTTTTTGAGCTCCACTTAAACCAAATTACCTCCTAACCAGTGTTGTTCTAAGTCAACGTTGCACATGACCAGACCACCTAAATCTACTTCCCCTCATTTTATTGCCTATTGGGAGTTACCCCTAAGTTCCCTCAAATGTATTCATTCTGAATTCTATTATTACTTATCTTGTCACTCATCCATCTCAACATCCTCATCTCCTCTACACTGACTCTATGTATATATTGTTTCTTGACCACTTAATATACAGACCCAAAAAGTATGGCTGGTCTTACAGCCATCCTATAGAAATTCTCCTTCAACTCACCGGTACGCAATGATCACTTAAGACTCCAGAAGCATATCTCCATTTCGTCCAATCAGCTCTAATTCTATGAGCAACATCTTCCATGATCTCTCCTTTCTCATGGATTATCGACCCAAGATATCGAAAATAATCTTTTTTAGGTACGTCTCTATCAATATTAATTAATTCCTCGTTTTTGTTCCTATTATTACTAAACTTATATTCCATATATTTTGTCTTAGATTGACTAATTTTAAAACCTTTAGATTCTAAAGCATCCCTCCAAAGTTCTAACTTTGTCTACGTCGTCTTTAGTCTCATTAATCAAAACTATGTTATCGGCAAACAACATACACCTTAGGACCTCATCATGTAGATGCCTAGTTAAATAATCCATAACCAAAGCAACGAGATATGGGCTTAATGTTGAACATTGATTCAAATCGCTGTCCGCCCAAGCGCCTAGGAGGCCACCTAAGCGGGCTGGGGGGGTATGGACGATGGCGGACCAACTAAGCAGGCTGTCCCTGAGCGCTCACCTAGGGAACCTAGGTGCCCACCTAGTACCCTGCCTAGGCGGGCACCCAGGGTACCTCAATGTGCGCCCATAGGACTACGCCTGCAAGTGCGAAAACACCCATCAGGTGGGGTTTTTTTTTTTTTTGGATTATAAAAGATACATGAAGATGCATTCCTAATAAAAAAATCTAGACCTAAAACATGATTACTGGACACCCCTTGCCCCCTTTTGATCCAAGGCAGCCCAGGTTCTGGGCAGTCGCCTAGGAACTGCCGCACTAGGCAGCCTAGACCCCCCTGGCTGCCTAGGGCCTGCTATATTTTGGAACACTGACATTGACCCCTAATGTAGGCCTACTGTCACTGAAAACTCATTGCTCTCTCCTCACATAGTTAGTGCTCCCTCGTATATATCCCTAACCATGTCAATATATCCCCTTGAGACTCCTTTTCTTTTCCAGCATCCACTAAATTATCTCTCCAGGTACCCTATCGTATGATTTCTCTAAATCAAAAAAGACCGTGTGGGGGTCTTTTCTCTTCTCCCTAAAGTTCTCAATCAATTGCCTAAATAAAAAAATTGCCTAAATCAATAAAGACCATGTGGAGGTCTTTTCTCTTCTCCCTAAGCTCCCAGAGTGGTCATCATTTAAGAATTTCTAAAAATAGATCCTCATTCTTAATGCATTTAACATGATCTAGGTCTCGACACTTCCCCTCTCTCATTTTTGCTAGTTCGAAGACATCTTTTTCAGCTTCTTTTCCAATTTATTGTATAGATCATCATATGCCTTAAGCTTAACCTTACTTATTTCTTAGTGTTTCTCTTGGCATTTCTATGTTCTTCTAAATTCTAATCATTTCTATTCTCTTACCAAACTTTGTAATGTGATATTTTTCTCACTGATAGCCCTTTGAACCTCAACATTCCACCACCAAGTTACCTTATCTAAGTATTTTTCCTATGGATTTTCCTAAAACTTATTTTTTCACTTTCTTAATACAATCAACTATCTCATTCCACGTAACATTAATTTTGTCCTCAAAAATCTATTTTCCTCATTTTATCAATTTTTCATAAATAAGTCTATTTTCTCCCTTTTTAAGTTTCACCACCTAGTTTCTGGACACCCATTAATGTTACTCCTTCTCTTTCATCTCTTAATGCAAATATCCACAACCATAAGCCTATGTTGCATGATCAAACACTCTCCTGGGATAACCTTACGGTCTTTATATGATGATTGTTATGTTTTCTTAACTAGAAAACAGTCTATCTGGTTTTTACATGATCTACTTTTGTAAGTTATTAAATATTCATCTTTCTTTTTAAAGTAGGTGTTTGCTATTGTTTGATCTTATGGCATAGTGGGCGAGTTTTATAAATGAGAAAATCAGGATCTGCCAAGTTTTTCGTCATGTATAATTTATGTGTTTTTTTAACACGTAAATGGATTTCTTTAATGGTGTAAGAATGTGGTATGAATTGGTGTGACAAGCGGGATTCGAATCCCACAACAGGCACTTCGTATTTTTGATATTTTTTTCAAAAAAATTGAAGTAAGCTAATATCGTTTTATTTTTTTTCAAGTTAACTGTGTAGCTCAGCGAAATGACTCGGTTTGGCATTCATTGAGTCGACTACCATGCTTGTGTCTTTTAATCCCATGTAACTTAAGCATAAAATAAGAGGGTAAGAAATAATCAATATTTCTTCTAGAATTAAACTCACAAAAACTGTACTTTACTTATTTGGTAGAAAACTTAAACTAATTTTTTTTACATGTTTTGTATAAGGTGAAAACTTTGGTGGCCCTAATCCCATGCACCAAGGTGTCCTAAGGACTTCAAGTTAACCTTGTTGGGAATTTGAAAGCAATTTTGGTCCCAAAGGCAGTATCTGAAGATTGGGATATTAATCGCCATTTTTACAACCACAAAATAAACACATAGTGTCAATGTGCTTTTCAAATTACTGTAAATTTTTATGTAAGAGCTCCTTCTAACAGCATAACTCTGCATAATATGCTATCGTCCATCACTACTCCACAATGTAGAGCTTATCCCATCATATTGATAGTGGAGAGCATTACAATTTGAATCTCCTTTGACTAACATTAACTACTAATAGTATTCACACATGACAGTGGCGGACAAATGACACAATGGAATCAGAAAACAGGGCCCTCCTCTTTTTCTTTTCATTACACTTAAAATGGAGGCAGCGTTTTTTTATTCCAAAAGCCTTCAATATCATTTCAATTCATTTTTTCTTGTCATATTGAGAGGAGCTTAGCTTCCTAACATAATAACAAAACGAATTCTTGTCTTTAAAACAAAAATACTGAAAAGGGCCCTTTTTTCCCTTTAGAAAGACTATTAAAAAGGACCATTATCACTCCCTTTGTGGTCTATGTTGATTCAAGTTATAGTATTAAAGTATCCAGGAAACACTCCTGTATAGAAATGATATGCGTGTTATTTCGATGAAAAATCAACACCATCACCATAGTCATATCTCGTAATCGTGATAAGAAAATGACAACCATATCCACTACTAGGGTTAAACTATTACAAGGTGGCTAGATTGGTTTGTTTTTCAAGTTGTATCATTAAATATGAGGACAATATTGGTGACCCAAAAAAAATAATTTCAAACACCTACATGCATAAAATATTACCGGCCTGCCTTTCTGTAGATCCACCTTGCGCCCCAAATCCACGAACATCAGAAATAGTCACACCACGAATGCCCATTTGAATAAGCGCCTATAATTTTATGATCAAGTTATTATTAACAAACAGTTGGTCATCCAAAAAACCGAAGTTGCTAAAATGCCAAATCCAACCAAAAACTACGACTAAAATGTTCTTTCTTGTTTTCGGGAAAATGGGGGATGGAGTTGACAGAGGAGAGAAGGAAAGAATAAACAATTTAAAGTAGCTTCCATGAACTACTCCACTAAAACTTCATTGATCCTCACCGATGAAACAAGAGGAACCCGCCATGGCCTTGAGAGTTTCCACATTTCACAACACAACAAATACAGAAACAAATGAGAGAAAAAACACAGGAATGAGAAGAAAGCGAAAAATGGAAATGCAATAGATGCCCATAATAGATCAACCCCCTCATTGACAGGCGATCTTTCCATGTAAAAATCTAACTACACAGATTATGCATTAGATTGCATGAACACACCTTAAAATTGCTTCGATTTTGTAGAATTTCGCCTCGGGTACATAATCTGATAACATATCATCTCAAAAATAAAACTCCCAAACAAATACCAAATCACCAAAAACACACTACAGAATATAAATTGTAAATGGAATAGAAAGGAAGAAATAATGAGAAAACATTAAGAGAGTATAGAGACTTACCAGGAGAACTTTGGGCTCTAATCTTTGGTTGAGAGCATGCCATTTTAGAATGCTTTAGATGGGTCTTTGGACATTTATTAGAGAACCAACTTGGAGAAGAATGAAGAGATGAGTCTTTGCGAAAAGAGGGTTTGGGGTTTGTTGCCCTAAGTTTGGTAATGGCTGGAAAGCTCAAAGCCATGCTTACACCAGGGGAGACACTGGTTAGCAGTAAAAGATCCCAGCAATATTATTAGATGGACCCGGTTTTCTGTACGGTGAAGCCCACATATCTAGAAATGCGAGCCTCTTAATAAATATATTTTTGAGTCGGATTTTAAGAATTAATTTTAAATATATATATACATTAAAAAATATATTTTAAAAAAATATATATACATTAATAATTTTAATAAAAAACCATTTAGGCCATTAGTTTTCATTATTTTTAGATAAATCACCTTCTTGCATCCATCATTAAGAAGGATGCTTTGCACTTTTTGGACCGCATATGTAGGAATGCGGTCCAGCCCTCATGAAAGAATTTTCTTCATTAGATTCCCTAAAATGTCAAAAGAAGAGAAATTATACCCCTTTATTGTGTGTATTTTTTCCAAAATTCTCCTAGTTCGTCGTCCGAATTTCGGACTCCGAAGTGACAACAACTCCATATTGGAGTTCTAAACATGCACAGTCAAATCTTGATTGCCCAAATTCAAGGCTTTGTTGTGCTTGGGGTTTCAAGTTTGGAAAAAATTTATATAAGGTTACAACCTTAAAATGTGGATTTACATATGCACCTCAAAAATCTATTGAAGAATGTTGTTTTAATGTTGAAAAAACTTCTAATTGATCATCTTGACATCGAAATGTATGAATATGAAAAATAAAAACATTTTGAGTCTTAGAAATAGTACATCTTACAACATATTATCTGGACCGTCCATTTTATAGATCTACTTGAT